CATTGCCAAGTTAAAAGTTACTTCACATATAAAGAAAGATCATTACCATATATATATATATATCATCTATGGTTATTACTCTCATCATAAACCTTTATTAAAGCTAATATGATATAGCAAAGCTTTAAAAAAAATAATTTTTAATTTATAATTGAAACTTTATATAATTCTCCATAAACATATGCTAAAATTGCGACAAGTTGACAGAAAGAGGCGACGGATAGAATAACAAGCGATAAGTGTGATGCACCCATCTTGTTACTACAATCGGGACATGGCAGACTTACGATGCATTTCAATCTGAATTCACCGGACCGTCAACATCAACAGTGATTGCGAGAGGTAAAAACCCAAATGTGAGTCGATCATCAATCCACTGCAGCATTACTGGATACCTAATATCAGTTCAAGGTCAGCTTTGGTACCTTATGAAATGAAAATGTAATTTCTAAGCTGAAAATGCAATATCCAACCCTTTAAAATAGAAGTATTCAAAAATATGTGAAAACTTTTTATTAGTGTTTTTTTTTACTTTGTTTTGTTCCACTAAAAGAAGTGATTAAGGATTGAAATATGATAAATTAAAACTTTAACTAGAACTTGATAATATTAGTTTACCTATTCGTGTAGAGTGTGAAATATTTCATATTCTATCTTTACTTTTTAGTATCAAACAATAAGGCAGCTGTTGTTTCAATTAAATCAATCTTCAATTCAGTATTTTTAGTTAGATGAGCAAATTAGTAAGCAATTATATAAACAAGCGAAAAAGCACATGTTATGAATGAAAAATTCATGTGTTAAACAAAAATGATAAAAGTAAGTTCGACAATCTTGCATATATTGATTTCATATCAATGTGATCCACTACTATTACTACTATCCATATGATATTCTGAAGTTTATAGATGATGACATCCAAAACATCATGCTAAATTTGATCAAAGCAGAACATTCAACGAAAAATTATTGTAAGAAGAAAAAGTGATAGTTAATTAAAGGTGGGAATGGGAAAAAACCAATTTGGCATAGAAATGTGAAATGTTTCAGAAAATTTAAATGGTCATTAATGAAATTGAAATGATAGATGTGAAAAAAACACATTAGGATGGCATCGGACGAAAATTTTCTGAAAAAGATGGGAAGTTTGAGCCATAAAATGAGAAAATTATCTGAAACGATATAGAAATAATATTTTAAAGAATGAAACATACACAGACACACACACACACACACACACACACAGAATGTTCATGCCCTCAATGAAACATGCACATCATACCTAATGAACATTCTAATCGACGGGAATTTTCTGATCTTATATTCACTCCTACCTATACCCGCCGAATCATTGTAATCAAACGATTCGAAGAGGGAGAAAAATAAATAGAAAAATGTTTTAAAATACCCGGTTGTAATGCATGTAAATAAAAAGAGGAATCAGCACACGAAATCATAAATGTCTCTTTAGAATGGGAACGAAGACGATGGAGAAGATATCAAACTGCATTCCGCACCAATCAGCACAGCATTATCTATAGTTTTCTCATTTTCTTGATCTCTCATTTATTCCCCTTCTGTAGCTATTTTTTACTAAATTTAAAAAAAAGACTTCTGATTTACTAACATATGTTCTTTTTAGATTTCAAAATTTTTGTATTTTAAGCATATGTTTTAAGAATTCCATACATTTTATCCGTTTGAATTACTCTAATATTCCGGAGTTTTGAAAACATTGGTCTTACATAAAATTTACCTGAAACAGTCGCAAAGCAATATAGGTAATCGAATTTACAAATTGTAATTAAAAATTTATTTTTTAAAAATACAAACAGAATTTGCCAAAAACTTTGCACTACAAACTTCCTGATGGAAAGTTTGTAAAAAATTCGCCAAAAATTCACGAGTTATGTAACTATTTTAGATAAATTGTATTACCAATAATTCAAAAACTGTTTGAAAAAGATGCACGCAACTTTAAAGAAAATAGCTTATGAATAAAATTTAAAAAGCAAAGCGCAAATTACTTCAAAATGATCGCTGTGAAATGGATTGCGCCAATCGTTCGTCCCTCATTATATCGGCGTTCCTTTCTTCACCTACAACTGCCATTGCGCGCGTATTATATTTAAAAAAACTGAAAGTAATTCTAATGTGTACTGAATGTCATTTTTCAGAGAAAATGAAAATGTTGGCTAATATTTCGAAGAGCTAAATTAATGTGTAATTATATGTCAATGAGTTGTACCTAACTCTGATTGATCATTTGATGCATCTGACTGGTCATTCATTCCACATCTCTTATCTATCCTCCAGCATTCCACTTTAGCTGTTTACTGAGCTTTGTCCATTAAGACGGGATAATTTCGTAATAAATGCTCCTAGATCGACACATGCCATTATAACTAACTATATGTACCGAATTTGATCCACTTAATTACACTTGATTTATTGCTTACTAATTGCGCTAAAAGCCAAATTTGCTTCAAATTACATTTAGGATGATACATAAGAATACGTACAATATCACTGTTTTCTGGAGATCAAATAAGGCAGCGTCTATTTCATCTAACGAACAAAAAGTTTTTCAAATTTCTCTACAGAGCTCTGTATGACCTTTGCCCGAATCTGACACACATTCTTACTAACTTTCCTTATCCTTTTCTATTCTGATCATTGCGATCTAACCACAATGTTAAGAGTTACTAACCTAATGGATCTGAGCATCCCAATTTATTTCACATAATACGGTACATCTTTTGTTCGTGTCCGATTTAATTTAAGTCTTCTCTTTCAAAAATTCAGGATCAAATACTCGAACTTTTTTTGGAAAGGAAGCAGTCAACGACATGTTGTACTCGCAGAAACATTGCAACCCATATAAATTTTTCAAATAGAGGTTAATTGCTAATCGATGCACTTTGAATTGGTTCAACACCATACTTACACAGGTGTCAATTTGATGGACAAAAAATAACGTTAAAACATATGGCAGTGGCTACGTCAGTTCAATCCATACTTTAAATAAAATCCTAATTTCCTGAAAAATTAGAAATAGTACTGTTCAAACGGGTCCGAGCTGGAAATATGACAAAGAAAAATTTTCTTCAAATAGGAAACGTCGCTAAAACAAAGTGAATTGGTGAACTTGAGAAGGCGTACAAAAAATGCAGCTCAAATGTCGTTTGACGAGACACTTCCATGCATCATAGAGCAGAAAGGAAATTCCTTCAGTTAGAAGTGACCTTGCCACGACAAATTCAAATAAACGCATAACGACCGCCTAAACACTTCTTCAAACATCTTTCCACTAATACTGTGCACCCACTCCTTTTCATCACCCTTTTTCGCCGCATCAGTACAATACGTCCATCAACACACTGCTGCTGCCGTTCTTGAAAAGATTTCTGGGGCATAAATCCATTCTGTTCCATAAAATAATTCCATATTATCTTACAAATATACCAAGAATAAATTCAGATGAAAATTTCAGATATTTCTTATTGTGGAAAATTGCTGGTACAATCATCATATATACAAAAATTTTGAATTTTGAAACGAGAAATCGACTTAACTTACCACTGTTATGCAGAGTAATCAACAGTCATGCGTCATCAAGATACAAAATTTATGCATATAAGTAAATAAGGTTGAAAATCTAAGGGAGCACATAAAAGGACAAAATTTTCTCTGCATTGAACTAAACGAAATATACACATGTCGGAAATCGAAATTATTTTGTAGTACTAAAACGTTAAAGTTGTGTATTTTGTGGAAATTTATTTTGCAAGATTTATCATCCAAAATATTGACAATTAAAAAATTATGATGGTGTCTACGAAATTTCTTATTCATTTATTTGAGATTGTAACTTGCGTGATTAATTACCACTTCGTTATTTCATGGGAACTACCAAGTCAACCAATTTTATCTGATAATTTTTTTTTATCACGGATTTTAAAATTATTATTCGCTTTAATCTTAATACCTAGCTTAGCTATATAAACATCGACATGATCACAGAGTTCTTGCTTTCTTATTCCACTCTTATAAACCTGATTCAACCTCATATTATACTCACTCACCACTAAAAGGTATCTGCTTCCAATTTTTCGGTACTATTTTACGCTGTTACCATCTACATCCAAACAAATCTCTTCAGGACTACTATTTGAACAAATAGTCCAAACTACACCCACTGGATCAGCACGTTAATTAAGTGATCGATTCTATTATTGATAAATTACTGTTAATATTTTATAATATTTGAAAGGAAATATCTCCAAAAGAAATTCGATCTTCACCAAATATTCGATTGTACTAAACTAAAATTCTTCCAAAATAAAACTAACAAAATAAGAATTTTAAGTTCGCAATAACATTTATAAGCAAAAGAATGAAAATTTAAGCAATATACAACACAATAAATGAACTAAAAAGGATATAATATTTTGTTTTTAGGGAAAATATCCTGACCCAAACTTGGCAGAACAGGCAAAGTTACTTGGATCGCATTCAATATGCAAATAATCTAAGTAATGGATAATTAATTGTTCAAAAAACGTGTCTAAATAAATTTTATATAATTATGCAGTGAATTTCAAAACGTATTTTAAAAGTAAAATAAACGATTCAGGATTCTGTTTATAAGACCAAGATTTATTTTATTTCAAGTGCAGAACACTGGTCACAGTTCTTTCCCTGATCTGTTACACATATTAAATGCAGCAAAATCGTCAGTTGACTTTTGTCACAAAAAAATTACTGACTTTTTAATTTTCATCATATGAAAAACAATTATATAATTATGCAGTGGATTTCAAAGCGTACTTTGATCATAAAAAAATGATTTAGAATTCCGTTTTATAAAAATAGCAAAAAAAATCAAATGAAGAAAGAATTGATGTAGCCATAGAAATAAGGAAATGACTTAAGGTAGATCCACCATATATGACGGAACATATTTCATTTTAAGATCTCTATACACCTTTTCATGACTTTTAAGAATTTGAAGACTCAATAAGTGACCGCACCAAAAATGAATGGACGTTCTCTGATACAGATTCTCCAGATATCAAATGTTTTTCGATCATCGACGCAACGATTCTAAAAAATGATGATTTATAACGTAAATATTGACAAACTAAAAATTTTATTCGAAGAAATTAGCATTCTTAAAAATTTTTTGTACCTTGTAAGATCGATGTCAACAAAAACCATTCGCACAAAAGAAACACTTCCTGGTTTCAAATCGAGCGAAATACATAATCGACGGGAGATGTATGAACCAATCGTACAAATACGAGCTACCTGAATTTTATTAAAGATTAATAAACAGCCAATACATTTCAAAAAACGGCAAAGTTTTGATGTATAAGATATACATTAATTGATTTAAATGAAATTTCATAAATTTAAACAAAAATTCTACATATAATACGATTTTTTCGTTAGCCAGCCAGCCCACAGTCATATAACAGTATAGTAATTGAAGTGGAAGTAAAGAGGAACAATTTAGAGACAAATGAATTAAATAAAACATACAGTGAATGAACTAGGGAAATTTTAGAGTAACAAAATGATGCAGCAAGAAATAAGGGATTAAATTAGCAGATTTGAACATGCTACTTGTATACACAACTTCTATCCTTCAAATATAAAAATCAAAAATCAAAGTCTTATAAGCTGAAGAACTGAAAATCGCGAGTAGCATCTTTCTCAAAATCACTTTAATATTCCCATACAAAAATGATCAAAATGTGACATTTGTTTGAAACACCTGAACTTGTGAAAGGAGAGTTTTTCAGCTTATAAAACATTATTTCAAATTTCTCATTTTCGTATATGAAGAATAAAAGCCGGATATGTCAAATCTGTTTAAAAAGAAAAAACAAAAATTCACCTCAATTCCAGTTGAAGTTGACAACCCAATTGCAGCAGATTCGAAATTCAATAATTTATGAGCAGGAACAATCGATGAAGCAATTTCCAGAGATAATTTGTTTTCCAAAATTGCTTGCAATGATTTAGACAGAGATTTATATTCAGTGTCCTCTTCCTCTTGTGTTTTACAGAGTGACAGCAAGACTGTCTTCGATCGCTGCGAAATATTGTTCAAATTAAGCATGGAAGACGTGTTACTTGGAATAGTATAAGAAGCTCCGCTACTTAACAAACGAAGAGGCCATCTATTCGTCTTTAACATCAAGGATTTCTTCACGAACAGAGAAACCAGTGAAGAGATGCTATGACCTGAAATTATAGTTTCTGATTAATTTGATTATCAAGCATTTAAATTGTCCTCTTTTTATCATTTTTCACCTTATAAGAATCGATTATAGTTTCAGGAAGCGGATCAAGATATTCAGTTTTGAATCACAAAGCAACCGCCAGAGCACAGTGATAGTAAAACATTTATGAAAGGACTTTTCTCCTTAGTTCCTCTAAAAAATCAATTAAAATTTTGTCTTGTGACATAGAAAGCATTGGAAATTACCGAATAAAAAATTTCTGCCGATTTGGTTTGAGAATGGTAAGCAGTCGAAGAATAAGTTATAAAGGTACTGGACAAGCTATTCCTCCTGATGAATGCTAATAATGTAAAGTACTGAGACTGCTCTATTTATTTCATTCACCATTTAAGCTATCAAACATTTGAAGTGCCCATACTTTTAATGAGAAGTAATGTTTTTCTGTTCTACAAAGTTACAGGAAAATACCCAGCATTTTTATAATATTAATTTCTTGCGACATCCATTTTTATAATATATATAATTTTCTTGTAATGAAACCCATAATATTTTGTGGAATGAAAAAGTAAATAAATTAAAAAGAGACATACCGTGCACAAAATAACGTGACTAAAATTACCTGCTAAATAAAGCAAAGATCCTTTATGCATGGCACTAGCAAATACTGGAAAACTCTCTTTCGACACATTCACACCATCAATTATTGCACCACGTACAAAATAAGGTGGAGAAACCTGGAAATTGCAAAAAAATAGTTTCAAAGCGTTTAAATTTTTTATGTAAAAATGGATTTCGAGAAATAAATGTAGGTAAGAGGTTATGGGAGGTTGATACAGCCGAACCAACTAGTTGGATAAGCTAATTAATGGTTGAGAGGGTTTTGAATCGCTTTCGCAAAGCCCGCAAGAGGTTGCAACCAAATGCAGTCGTATCAACATGAAACATACATAGAATCCTGGTGAAAAATTAATTACAACTATTACATTGAGGGTATTTCCAGCAAATTCTTCACGGAACAACTTTTGAAGAAAATACTGCAAACTGGCAGGGAGTCCTATGAGATGAGCATTTGAAATTGAAGGTTCTACCTGGAAAGAACAAAATTATATATGTTCTAATGTGATTATGAGTTAATAAAAAATGAAAGACATCTCAATTCGTCGCAAAAATTTAGTTTCAGTTATATTTGAATTCAAATAAATGATTTTATTTTTTGAGGTACAAAAAATTTTATTCACTGAAGATGATACCTTTATCATACCCGCTTTTTGCAGAAAAAATATGTGTTTGCCATTTTGTTCACTGTCAACTTTGTTAATATAGGGAACGACATCGAGGGAACATATAGCGCTTCCTGATAAATCATTAGGTAACCTCAAAGCACCCAACAGTCCCTCACTTTCGTTCAACATGCGTTGTCTCAATTCACGGTCACGTGACATATTTCCTGCGTGCGACTACAACAATTTTACAAAATTTTGAATGAAATTGAAATCATGAAAATTTCAATTTGGTGCTATTTCATTCCTTATATAATGAAATTAATAAAACATTCGTATGAACAAAATAGAAAACTTTTTGAAATTTAATTTGCATACTTCCCATAAATCAATTTACAAGAACTACACCTCGACAGAAGAATCACGCCATTTCGTATAAACATCCCACCACCTGTAGTAATTCGCAGCAACACTTTCAACATCAACTTTCAGTCTTCTAAAATGATAAATGTTTTCATCAAATATTTGAGAGTTGCGATGACTGATCATAATAAAATAACCAGTCATAAGCAACTTGAGTCTTGCAATTGTTGACAGTATCCCAACAGAAACTCATGAAGCGAGTAACGACTGACTACCAAATTTAACGTTTTCGAAAGTATAACAGAAGCTTACAAGGAATGCTCAAAAATACCATAAAGATAAAGTATCAAATAATGATAAAGCTCTGTTTTAAAAAATTCACTTTTCGTGAATTTAACTTTTTTAAAAATTCTATCCTATTAATATATCAGAATACATTCTACCAGTTGTCGGAAACCCGAAATAATACCGCAATATAAAATCATTTATATAATTAAAGTTCCTTTGTATTATAGAAATCGTCTGTCTCGATATTTTCAGCATACTATTACGATCTTAATAAAATTGTAAATTCTTAGTCAATGCTACAATTCCTGGTTATATGACAAGATATGTCTTATTTAGTATTCCAAGAATAACGTCAATAACTTTCGTTATCATAAATTTCTAATGATAACATATGCTTTGTTTATTCTCTTTGTGAACGATTTCAGGAATACCGTTAATAACTATTATCAGATGATTTATAACCCTTTGGTCACGATTAATCTCTTCCATCAGATGACCACTTACTTAATTTATCAAAACAATGTTCATCGAGCACTTAAAGGAATATTATAACGTCTTAAATCCTTATCACTTGAAATCGAAAGTTCTTGAGTTAGCTTGAGTTATGTCGCATTCACTGCTCCCCCATAACTACTTCTAATATTTCTGATATTATTGAATAACGTTGATCAATCATAACCTTTACCTCAACAAAATAGTTTGATCTCAACCTTATTCGTCTCACACAAAATAGTTTGATTTCAACCTTATTCGTCTTTTTTCACAACCCGACTTGAATTTTAAATCTACCTCGCTTCAATCATGCATTTAAGCTCTTTGATGTCTTCAAAGCGATAACGTAAATCCAGTAGAGGATCAACAACATGGACCGCAGATTCATCATTGCAAAATCGACATGCCAAATGAGTCACACTTCTGGACGACTTATAAACAAACACTCCAACTCTCATGAATGTCTCCTGAAAATTGCTTTTGCGGCTTTATTTTCTGATCAGTCATTCTATCCGTGTAAATTTAAAGTTTACCAATATTTGGAATCATAGAATTCATAAGTCCGTTTATAAGAAAGACCACTCTAATTAAAAATTTCAATTTCTTTATACTATTGAACTCTTCAACGGAATAATTCAGAAATAAGCCTCAAAAAAGATGCGAAGGATCTGAGCCTTCACATCTGAGCTTTTCCGAAAGAAATAATATCAATTTCATTAAAAAACGATATTAAAAATTTTCCGTAAGAAAACAGTGAAAATTGAGATTTGAAAAATACGATACCACATTTTAAGACTTTTGTAATTATATAATAAGAGTTTCTGAATGAGAGGAGCGACAAAGCCGAAAGTATTCATATACAAATAATATTCAATGTGCATCGCAAGATGAGTCGCTCAAAATGATTTTATAGCCCCCGAGAAGACAATAAAATAATGAAACCATGTACATCAAAAGATTGAAGCAAATATTGAAATATCATACAAAGTACATAAAACCCAACACTCTATACCTTATATATTTCATAATAATTCAGTACAGTCAATGAAAATAGGGAGGTCTTTTCAGTTCGATACCATATTCAGCAAGCACGGGCTCCAGTAGTTCTGAAGTCAACGTGTAACGTGTTTCTTTGGTACCTTTCTTTGTTTGGCCTAATCCTTTCATACGTGCCTAAATGGTTTCAGAAATAAATAAATGGAAACGACTAACGTATATGAAAATAAAACCATAATATTCAAAAATTGTTCAAAAATTGTTTGTCTTAGCATTAATTGAAACATTGTAAAATTTATGCATAAATATGTCATTCGCATTTAAACTCTTAATTAAGAGAAACATATCATCTTTATTATTTCTGCGGTACGAAATTTTTCGTTCATGGAGAAAGGTTAGACAAGCAATTCGAGCTAAATGTTGAGAACAAGATGTTCGATCTATTAGTCATCTATGTAATGAAAAAAATGAAAATACTTGTTGCATAGCATCCAAAATAATATCCGAAGTAAACTTTTGAGCTGCAAGTGAGAATAAACGTATAACCCGCGAATCTGCACAATCAACCCCACTTTTTTTCATGTAATGGATTGTAACAGCATCCGGTATCGTTGGCACGTAATTGTCTAGGTCATTCACAAAATCCCTGAAATTCATATCATTCTATAAATCTAAAGTGCTAATAACTAACGGTATCTTATAAAACAGTAGAATATGGTTAACTGGAAGCGATAAGACAAAGCGTCGGTCGTCAACCTCAAACGATAACTCTTTATGTATTAGAATGAAAAAAAGAAGGATTCATAAAATCTCTGAAATTTATGCAAGCTAAAAAATGGTTGGATAGAGGTATCATCATGTGATAAGATTATTACGACGTAGATTTACAAGCCTTGTAGCGAAGCACAGCAATGGGTTGTGCGTAAGCACCGCGATAACAGTTTTTTTTTATTTGCATACGAATAAAAAGTAACCTGAGAGAGGTACCCAGTGGAACGGAACCACTGGCAAGTAATACTGCTTGCTGCGAATCAGGAAGTGATTTCTGCTGGCTCGCAATCACACGTGATATGGAAGTATTTGAAGATAATGTTCGTACCGCTGATGTTGCATCTTTAACTCCTCCGGACACAATTCCTAATTTGCGGTCATCTGATGACTGACTATGCATCTTCAAATCTTAAGATTAATCTAGAACATTAATAATCACGCAGATCAATGCCTCTACGGGAAGTGATACTAAAGTATCTCTAACGAAGAACAGAATTAGCGATAAATAGCAGTCCTACGGAGAGACGTGAATCTAAATGTGAGAAATGACCACTAACCAATTAACTATTATCTCGGGCCTCTTTCAAAATCACGAGAATTGAAGAATGATTGCAAACAAATCCCTTAACAACCTCGTGTCACTTTTCAAATGGCCGATAGTGTTATACGGCCCGACCTCCAAATTCCGTCATCTGCGTTATTTAACGTGAGGGTGTTCCTTCTGTTTGTTGTTTTCGTATGATTAGTTAGTTTCTCGTCGATTCATAGAGGAGAAAGGTTAATTGAATTAAAGTCCTTCTACCTATCCGTTCTTCAAATAAATTATTTTTAAAAGACAAGATTTTATTTATAAAATAGTTTTCATTCAAATGATTTTTGCTTTTTAGAAAAAGTTAACGGTTTGAGTAATTATTCGTTGTTATCTCTGAATTACATATATTATTTGCACTTTTCACCCTATTATAACTGAGTTTTACGTATGTTTTAACTGATAATTTGCCCTAAAACTGCCTTTTACAACAAATTAAATTTACGATTTGCGTACGTTATTTTACAAGAAATAACGGGCGATGGATAATCACTTGGTTTAATTTTTTCTGGATAGCTGAAATTATTTTGATCAGAAGCGGTATTATATTCTAATTCGGCAACAGCTTCTGTCCATTTTTCGTTCAGCATCCTCTTGTCGTGTTATTTTTTTTTCAGGAAAACCTTATGGAAAACAAGGCATCCGAACGAGATGGTGACACGTCTATTGCAGAAGTCGACTTAATTATGAACAAATTTGGGGCACCTCTGGAGGATATATACAAACTAGCTACATCTTTTTACCGAGGTACCCAGTACTGTTTCGATAATACTTAGAATAACACCATTAGTTGCAACTGATAGTAATATCTGCGGTAATATCAATAAGATTTTATTATTCTGTGCCATAATGATGATTACTGGAGGACCATTATATGGAACGACTTCTAGAATCTTTTTATTCTCTCATAGGTAATTTTTTTTCTTTATAGAAAGAAAACAGAGTTGTGAGCTTGTAGTACCATACGAAAAACGATTGTTATTCATGGCATATTCGAAGCAGGTTCGCTATGGTCCTTATGATGCAGCTGCAGATGATTCAGGATGGTTTGACCTTATTGGCAGCGATAGAATGTAAGTGTGCTAGAAAATTTTTCGCAAAACTTTAATTGTCAGATACTGTTTGTGTAAATACCCTTTATGCTATTATACAAAGAGCTAGCTTCTTGAAATGATTTTGAGGCTTTTTTCCGAAGCAGAATCATTATATACTTTCCAGTAAGATGTCCCAAAACTCAATGGGCAGTGAAAATCAACACCCATAAGTAGCACATTTATGTGATATACTGTTATAATTACTGACCTTTAAGATAATACAATAAGAGAACTCCTATTTCTGCGCACTATACTAAAAAATGCTTAAGTTTTACAAAATATTTTGAATATCCACTTAAATTTTATGCAAACATGTATGTGTTCTCAAATTTTGCTCTATTATTTGGAAAATATGAAAATAGTATAGAGAAAAAGTTTCTATTGATTCGGTTTGAATAGATGATAAGTAATAAAAGCGTGAGCAGTGAAGTTCTTGAAAATTTCATTCTGCTACGCTTCGCAAATCTGACAGATGTTCTTTGATTAAGTTCCAAAGGACATTAAGATCTGTTATTTTAGAAACTTTATTGTTTTAACACAGCACGTTCTACTGATCAATAGTATTTGAAGGTCTCATTGAATCTTTATCAAGAATTTTCTAAATTCTATGGTTAAGAAGTTTTTCTTTGGAAGATTTTTTTTAATGTTAAAATTTGTTTTCTTGATCGATAATTTGTTTTAAACACAGAATGACCTAACCTGTTGTGAAAGAACTAAATGCACACCATATATAGGTATATATCATACTAATAACTAGGAAATATAATATATATACGCGCTTAGCACATATGCATGCATGCATGCAAACAATCCACTTGCATTTCTATGCACACATGCATATAAAAAGCTTTTGTGACTTCGTTGCTTTAATAATTAAGTCGATGATAAAATGGTTCGTTGTTATCATCTTTGTGCCATAATTGTTTTTGAATTCATTTCCATTTTTTTCATATGTTTTTTCTGCCTGCATATTCTTTTTAATCCCCATTGCGAAGTATATTCTGTGTAGGATTTTCTCAACCATTCTCTTAAAAAGATCGTATGATCTTTGGGTTACTTGTTTTTCTGCGCAAGTTGCTCCAAATTTTTCTCCATCATGTAACACGCACAATAAATTAAAATGTGGGTTTTAAAAATGATTCTTGAACCTGTCGAGTTGAAACATTTTTTAGCTAGTGAGATATTGAAACAAAAATATCTTAAGGTACATGTAGTGATTCTATGCAGTAAAATTCCTGAGAAATTTTCTATAATGCAGGCGTAACACAAAAGAGCGATTTCAAATAATTGTTCATACATAGGACTTTGCTTGGATTTTGAATATACTGTTAATTTGATAACTTGATAAGTCCTCATATAAAAAACGTAAAACTGCTAATTGGTGGTAATAATGCCAAATGAGAGTTGCTGCATGCTTAGTTTCCGCATGCTGAACTTGGATATACTGTTCATATAGCTTCAGCTTGTAATATTCCGGTAGGAATAGTTGTTGCTCGCGAAATCATTCAAATTATTCCACTTAATCCAGTCGCTTATGGAATTTCTAAGACTCCAAGTCGATTTTCAATGGTTTTAATCATCTTATAAGCTAATCACATTATCTGTTCCATTTATTAATATATCGGTTACTTATTCGTTACCGCTTCTTGCTATGAAATAATATCTACTATGAAAGAGGATTATTATTCAATCAGCATTCGAAATTGGGTTCTAAAAGGAAATTAATCGAGAAAAATAAAATATTCTCAAGCAGTTTCTTCAACTTATTAGAGCTGAAACATAATTGTTTTAGAAATTCATAGCATTTGTTCTCTCATTTCCTAAAACAATTCATGATCGCTCTCATTTAATGTTATGATTTTTTGCAATCTTTGAAGCTTATAAGATATCACTCCTGAGAAGTCTGTATCAAGCGTTTCAGACATTTTTTATTTAAATAGAAATTCGTTTTTGGAAGTTTGCGATTTTTTTAGAACTCAAGAATTAGATTATTTCAATAACAACGCCGCTCGATACCAGTAAATGGAAGAAAAATCCCATCTCTAGAGGATAAATCGTGTCGGGTTTGTGTTAATACACTGGCGGGAAACACTTCATATTGAAAGTTAGAGGAATTTTGACGTTGTTTAAAAAGAAAAAAAAAATCTCTGAAATTTGCTGTATTTGGCTCTATTTGCTTTTATTAGCACTTCTAATTTATTGAAAATTGCTCTTGCATATCTGAAAAGTATGTTGAGAAATGCTGAAGAATTGTTATTTTTCTAAATTCATAAATGTTCTAAAACTAATTTCAACGAATGATGAAAAATTGGTCGAATTAAGAGTTTTTTCTTTTTTGTCACTGAACATTTTGTTGCTTTGTAGAATTTAGACTAGCATCAACATAGCATTAGAATTTTGAGGGAGTACCAATAGAAAACGATTAAAATCTTTACATTATTTTTAAAGTATATCGTTAGTCTCTATTTATGCGATTTGTTGACATGTTGACTCTTCTGATTTTGATGTCCCTTCTAATACGAATATTACCAGATTCCGCCCCTACTTCTTCCTACAGCTCTCAGTTTTGTTAATCATTGCTTTCACCAATTTCGATTTATCTCCAAGTTACTTGGAGACGGTTCAGAGCGTAATCCCTTCAAGGCAAGGAAGTTAGCCCATCATATTAACAGCTCATCTTAAAGCAGTCTCATGCTAAGGATTTTCTCTTTTCAAATAAATTCACGTCATTTATAGACATGTTAAACATCCACCCTTTCCCTAATTCTCTTTCTTCGATGTTACCAGATCAAATGTCCTTCTTCACAATTCTTATATATATATATATATATATATATATATATATAACTTTTAAAAATGCTTTATATTCCAGTTTTTTCCAACAAAATTGCGAAATCAGAATTTCGCAGGTAGATTGCTTTGGTCCACTTAGAAAATTACAAATCATACCGTCGACTTTTTGGGAAAATTTTGTAAAATTCGGGCCATTTTTTTATTTTATAATGCTTTCTTAACTTCTTCATTAATACTGTGATCTCGAAACCGAAAATTTTGTCCTGAACTCCATTTTTTTGGTATTGGTATCATTTTTTTGCGTTTTTATTGGGAACTATGTTTTTATTGATGAGCTGGAATTTATGAATTTTGCAGTTAGATTATTCTAATTTTTTTTGAATCTAAATTGTAGTTACTTTCCAACCTGAAGTTCCTGAAAAATTAGAATGCATATTACCGAAAATTTTTTCTTTTTCCTTTTTTTGGATTTGTGCTATCTGGCTATAGTGGTGAGACAGAACAGGCGTATTTGTGGCACAGAACTCAGGAGGTAGAAAAATACGAACAGCAAATAGAAGAATCGCATGGGATTTGATACTTCTCTTAGTTTTTGTAAGATTGATTTTAAAACTTGAAGAGTGTGATTATCCAATCATTTGAATACGGGTTGCTCACAAGTAAGCAGAAGAGAATTAATGAGCAATTTATTCTATGTAGTAAATAAACAGTGTCAAACTTCTGTTGTTTTATATAATAAACAACGGTGTCGAACTTCTGTTGTATTCTAACATTTTTTGTTTGGTTAACTGCAACTAGAATACTGAACATTCTTTAGGTTTTTGCTGACATTTCTTATACACATTTGATATAACTTAACTATAGAAACTGAAAAAGGATTGAAATTTTACAGTGAAATTAAGCTGATGTTTATCTACTCTGTCAATTGTATATCATCCACACAGCACCAAATATATCCGGATAGACCACAGCTATTTTTTTTAAACATATCTCGAGTTAATGCGCACCTGATTTATTTAACAGTTTTACTAAAAAGCAGCAGCTAGTATTTAATTTGTAAGTCGACTGAAATAATTTTTTGTTTATTAAGCGATTATATATTCCAAGGATATTAGTGTTTCTAAAAGTGACCATTCAATTATCAGATCTTACATTTCAGGAAGGCTTGGAAGGACTTGGGTAATTTAAGTACTTCTGACGCAATGTCGGCATTTGTCACTCTACTCGACATTGTTTGCCCACTATTTCGTGATTTTGTCAATGAACAGTTACAGTCACAAGCAAATCTCAAAAGGTATTTTATATATAATATTTCAGATTGGAATTTATCATGCACGAGTTTTTAACACTTTGAAAGCGCTATTTTCGGAACTACGCGTGTTAAAATTATATCCACTTATTTAATAAGTTAGAAGTATCACCCAAATTATTAATATCTAATTATTCAAAATTGTCTGTTTGTAGTGAAGATCATCTTGATCACCAGCAGAATAATGTTCAATCTGATGTCTTTCAAGCAGTGAATGATATGGAAAGATTTGAAGCACAGCGGTATGATTTCTGTTTACCTTACTTTATTAGTAATTTTATTGCACGAATTTGTATCATTTCTATGCTTCAGTTAACTGCCACATCCATAGTGCAGGAAAGCGTAATTGTTACTCAGTGATTTTATCATATTTGAATAAGCTATATTTATTGAATTTAGAATTAATTTGCTTCGAGTTAGATTTACTTAAAATAGGTATGAATGATGGGATTTCAAAATTCCGAATCCTTTTTTTGTATGTAAAACAATAACGATGGATCGGGATCAATAATCTTCATTGCGAACTGATTTTCTCCTTTATTACACATACTATTTTGTCTCACTACGTCTGTAACAATTCTTGAATTTGTGCTGAAAAGTTTTTTGAATTTTGGAACATCAAAGCCACTTCGAATTTAGCTTCATTTTCATTGTCATTTTCTAGATCCTCTCATCTTACATCGATATTAATCATAAGAGGCACTTTAACATGGTATTTTGCAGACAGCAAATTCAGGAAGCTCTCAATCGTCAAACATATCATCAATTTCGAGCATACGCTCAACAGCAATTTGTAGGCGACCCTATTCAGGTTTGGAGCTACTTCACCTATGCTAATCTTACACCCTTTAAAACTTTCAGTGGTTATTATATGCATCCTTTTATTTGTATGCGCATAATAACGATTGAATTGCACTTAATTTTAACTTCCTTTTTTTTTGCTTATAATTCAGATATATTGCAGCAGTTTAAATTTCTCAAATTTGAAATGCGGACTTAAGAGTAATAAAAAATTTTTTTCATCCAATTTTCTTTGTGGTTGTTAGCATGGAATTATGTTATGTGTGAAATAGACTTGGATCAAATACTCAATTTTTGACTCTTTACCTGATGAACAACCAAATAATGAAAATCATCATTAAAATACCCGCATATTAAAATTTAGAAAATATGTCATGAATGTACAAATGATTACTAGCTGATTATAAAAGAGCAAAAGCATATAACAGTAGTATCAGTTGCGGATGTTACAACGCTTTGCCATTATTTACAGTTTTGTACTATGCCATTAAGAAATTTACGATAAAAATAAGCAGTGAAGAAATACATAATATAAAAATATGTATTGCTCCAATTTCAAAATGATTCGCTCAGCAGATAGGGCACAACTGATACAGGAGATATTAATTGGTGGATAAATCCAGTGTATAAAAACATAAGTCTTTGAGTACCTTTTCAATATAGAATTTGGTCTATAAATGTGTAGAAAATAATTGAATAAGGAGAGAATATTTCAAAGAAGGGGAGAAATAAGAAACACAAAGGGGTCAGATAACTATCTAAAGTTTAAAGATTGTAAGCTTTTTGATCAGTTCACTTACCTCGAATAATTTGAAGATGAAAATTCATTTTTAAGATTATCTCAGATGAAAATCTGAAATAATCTTAAAAATCCTGGGAAGTTATACTAAATTGTAATTGAAGTTTTGGCTACACATTGAAAACTTCGGTCAATCATTTTAAATTAGGAGAAAAATTTACATCAATATTTTCTGAGTATTTTAATTCTGAAATGAGCTGAATAAATTTCGAAATCCCCATGCTTTTACTTGGCTTTTTAAAGTATACACAAAGGATAGTTCATTAACTTAATTCGATAAATTGATCAGATCGCTCACATGAGATTCGATCCGGAACGAAACGCTTGTTTTGAATATATAAATTGTTAACTGAAAGAAATATTTGAATAGCAATAAGTGTATTAGTTACGAATATTTTTACTTTTTATGCTGGTGCTTTTAATATTGAGCATCATTCTTAACTTGACATTAAAAAAAATTAGGCAGCATTGTTTATTAAGGCTTGCAAATCACGGCTTAGTTTTTTCGTATCTTTCTTCGAATGGGTTTTTTTGATCACTGAGGGGATACTTGCAGATTCTCTATCCCTTGGAGTTTTTTATTTACTCTTAATTAAAAGTGAACGCAGAATGACCACTTACCAGGTCAGTAGATGTTTGTGGCTGTATCTCATTTTCCTTATCCCCATTTCCACAGTTTTCTTCACTTTCTCTTTTTTTTAGTTTAAGTCCATTATGAATTGATAATATCGCCATATCGTCAATGTTTCTATTATGACTAATATCGAGCTCTCGTAGTTTTGTAATATTTTTCATTAATGCAAGAGCCGCTACACCTTTGCTGTAACATGTGGTGAAATTAGACCTTTGAAAGGAAACAGCTAAAATCTCAAGTTTTAGCTAACTTAAAATTTGCATAAGACTAAGCAAACATATGATTTATTCTTATGGTAAAAATAATTGTTTATGATGGGAAATAACTGAATTTTTTGCAATCCGATGAAATTCACGGTAGACCTGGTAATGCAAGTACATCCTTGTACTGATATCGTTTCAATAGCATACTGAACTGATGCTAACGAGTAAAGGACTTCATCCGTTATCCCATCGCAGCTTATGAGTGAAATCTGAATTTCATAATGTATGAATAAGTTTTCAATCAAGTTGGCAATTTTAGGTAAGAGCAAAGAACGAAAAAAATTGTTGAAAAACGTTTTTTTCTGCATAACAATGAGTGATGAGGAATTGAGAAGGTAGTTGGGCTTAAAAGGCTAACATTGTTGAGTGTGCAATCTTTGATCATGGTCAGTATGGAGTTATTGGTGATATTGAAGCACTTATTCAATGTCAGCGAGTGAAGCCTGTTGTGTGCGGCTAGTGGAATTAACTCCTCATCGGAAAGATGAGGTGAGTGTCCAATACTTAATGAATCTAGCTGACGACATTGTGATAACGAAGAGTAATCAAACACTTTCGAACAGCTTGTAATTGTTAGCGATCGCAAGTTCACCAGTCCTTCCAGTATTAGTCGCAGACTTTGCCCTGTTAGGGCAGTGCAATTCTGAAACTAATTCTATTTAAAATTAAAATTGTATGTGGCCTACTCTTTATCACTCACTTGAGAATTTTTCACATTTAACTGCCGGTTTGTTTTCATGTTTTCAGCGTGCAGCTTCAACATATTTATTTGATTCTTGACACTTTAAAAAACTTTGTACCAATCAAGAAACTACTTTATGGTCTCATTAATATTTTTTAAAAGAGAATGCAAGAACTTTTCTTTCTTGTAGAGATGGTTCTCTAAAATTTTCGTAAAATTACTTCGGGAAAGGGATAGTTCATTGTACTTGATGAATACCATTATTCCGTAACTTTCTATTCTATTAGGTAGCGGATATTGTAGTATGCAAAAAATATTACCTGAATATGTAGATTCTGAATGGTATTGCAAAAAGCTAACGGTTCCATTGGAAGAATTTGAGCTTCTTTTTGTATGTACCCTATGTGAAGAGATTGTAATGCTGGTAGACCACTGATGTATGATAAAGTCATATCATCTGTTACTGTCACTGGACATAATTCTAATTCAGTTAGATTTGGATGTAGAGCGAGAAATGCATTTAAAATCTCTGCTGGAAGTGAATTCGCTCCACTGATTTCGATGCTCCTGTAAGTTTTCGTTCCATTAATCATAATTTTGAAATTTAGAATATGAAGATAATTAACACTTCTGTGAAGGGCTTAGAAGAAAACTTACTTGAGGCAAGGAGAAAGTTCGTGAAGTTTGTTCAGTTTAAATGAAGCCCGTCTGAGATTAATTTTATTCAATTTTTTCATTCGTTGAAAGAAATCTTGCACCTAAAAACGTTTCGAGATGAGCAAAGGATAGAGCGGATAAATTTTCTTAGGACAGCAATAATTGCAATAATTATTGCACTTTCCTTATATGGACAGTTGTTTTTACTTGAAATAAATCATCATTAATTTAAGTGCGGATTTAAGAAATGGAAGTAAAAAGGAACTATAAGCTATAGAAATTCATAACCCTGGTTAAAAACCTTATCCTCTGCTGCTCCACTTTTCATATTAATGTTTTTAGAAATAATGCTTAAAACCTTATCGCCGTCATCTTTATTCACCCAGCTAGTCTCTTCTAATGAAAATGTTTCCAGATTCTCGCCAATCTTCTCCAATAGGATAGATATGTCAGCATCCAGAATAATACAACCGAGGTCAAGTTCTGTTAGACGAGTGCAATAACTAAATTAGAAAACAGCTTAAAAATATCGGATAGTGATCTCTAGATTGAATGTGGACACATTTTTATTGCTTTTAAAAATTAAACCAACTCGGCAATAGCATCAATAATAGGCTGTGATATTTTGAGCCATCGTTGGCCAAAACTGATCATTCGAACATATCGTCCGCAACGTCTTACCACTCCAATAACTGTTGGCGCGAATGAAATGAACTCCTAAAGAAAAATTTTTAACGTTGGACTGTAAAAATGAAATTTATGAATTCACGAAAAAATCGAAGACGGTAAAGCGAACACTATTTTATTGCACTTCAGTGCTGCAAACAGATATTTTTGTGTTGGCTCTATTGTAATTCATTAACATGATTTAATTTTTGGTTGTGACTTAACTGTTTAACAGTAATAATTTTAAATGTAAAGAATGAATCAATAAGCTTTTCGGGCAAAAGATGAAAAAAGACAGAATGTGTAAAAATAAGGATAGGGTCAGTGAAGAAAATGCTTTGCTGTCTGATAACGACAGGAAGCCTTAGTCTACTTTCATCAACTGTTCATAGCTGATAAGCTCGAAAGCGTCTAAACCGGAGTTTCTTGATTGGATGTAAACTCATGTTGTGAATGAAAAGTATGTTATATTCATCAAATTCATTTGATTCTCTGAGAGGATTAAGAGGAGATAGTTCAGGATAGGTTGGAGATACCTGCTGAAAATAGCTGCTGGAATCATTTGCTAAAAAGTCGGCCATATTCAATTCTTTAATGTTTGCGTAGCTTGCTTGCTTCTGCAAAGTAATAGTAATTGTTTGCACTATAAATATGGATTTCTCATTCAGCAGCATTAGGCGACAAAGCAACCTTTCATTATGAGGTTTGGTTTCTAGTCTTTCGTTAGATAATTAAATCGATATACTTAGGACATGCGCCGTGAAGTGTTAAAGTCAGCCAACTGCTCAGTCCTTGTCCTGTTATGTCACATTCCTTGGAGTAGTTTGATACAGGAGCGGAATATTTTAATGCTCAATTATTTCGTATTTTCTATTAATAACTTATGTATGGTTTAAAGCTTATTTGTTCAACAACTACAATTGATATAAAAGACAGGAAAGTTGTGGGAAACATCTTTATTTATCGATTTGAATATTATCTTTAATAGTAGAAATATTTCTTATTTATTCATGTAATTTGCAAAAAATTCGTTTTTATTTGTTTGGTAAATTTCAGTGAGTCATTCCCAGCAATTGAGATAAAGCTCGTTAATCCAACAAATTGTTAGGCAGATAAGGTGATCGTAAATTTCTTCAATCTTCTAGTTAAAATTTCTAACTGACCCCTTTTATATTTTAATTTCTCTGCGAAAAAACTTGCGAAAATGATAGCAATGATAAACTGATTTTTAACGAACCTGTAGTATTTCGAACCATTTGTGACATACGACTTCAAGGCGGACACGATCAATGAAATCCAATTTATGGAATATGGATATGAGACAATCCTCATGCAATTTATCGATCATCGTTTCTTTTCTTTTTCTATAAAATAATCTTTACTCTTTAAAATATAATAATTATCATCAATTGATGTTCTTTAGATTAAATGTTTTATTCTTTTTTATTTTCTCATTTATTTATCTCACGATTAAAATTCATAATGATCTGAAATTGAC